CTTGTAAGTACTTGAGTCAGTTTTGGGCTAGAAAGAAACATATTGTCCAGATAATTTTATCCTTATTTATTTCACATATCTATGACACCTTGCTGGAATATTTAATAATAATCATTTTACTTTTTCATAATTCTACATGATCTACTTTTTAACAATAATGTTAGGCTGCATTTTTATAGGTAAGTGTGTGTGTATACCTGCACATTATATATCACATGGATCTTTAAGATGAATTTATCTATATATTTTCGCCATTTTATTGCAACAGGTAACACACACACAAACACACAAGTACACACAGAAATAGCCATCTCAGATCATAATCCACACGGAAAGGTCCTGCTGCCTCCTAATGAAATCTGGCCTCAGGCAGCCAAAGAGAGCAAGGACAGCGGAGCTCTTTAGCTGCTCTGTCTGGATTTCCCTGCTGTTCCTTTTATGGATGACAGAGTTCTGCCTGGCTCTCGGCTTATTTTGCCCTTAAATTAATTTGCTATATCAGGTCTAGTAGAGGACATTATCCTACTGCAAGTGCTGAATGATATCCCAGCTCATCTACAACACGAGACAGGATGGGCATCAAGCTGTTTCTATTTGAGGCTTCTTGGTGGAAACTGAGTCAGATGAAAGTCAACTAGCAGATTATGGAAAGAAGGATATTATGATGTAACCTTAGAAAGAGGGTAAAATATAAATGTAATTATAACTGCTCTTCAGATGATTGAAGATTACTACTTTTTTCCTTTTCCCGCTTTTTCTTTCTTTTGCTGTACATTATTTCCTTTTCACTTTCTTACTACTTTTCCCTGTTCTTTTTCTCTTCAATTTAGAATCTGCATTGTTTTTATACTGTTGAAAACATAAAAATCAATAACAAAAGAAAAAGGAAATCACCCAGCAGTAGATGTGTATATAATCATATAATATTTCCAAAAATATGGGGCAAATTCTTCTTACAGTAGGCGAGGAAAAGGCACCTTGAAGACAGCAATGTGTTGAACCATATGCGTGCTATTCCCAAGGCAATGTCCTCTCTTTCAAGGCAATCCAGTGAGGCATTCCCAAACTTGCCACACTGACACTCATATGGCACAAATTTATTGCAAGTGAGGCATTCTAAACCTTTGACAAAAGCAGCACTTTAAGAAGTTTATTGGATAATGTAGATGAATATTATTCTTTATGGGATAGGAAGGCATTAATTTATACACATAATAAAAATCTGTCTTGAGCGCTTAGCATTAATAGGAAAATGTGATTTAATAAGTATACTGGAGTCCTGGTGGGATAACACCTAGAATAGCCATCAAAAGACACATTTTCTTCAGATGAAGAGAAAACGAGGAGGAAATACATTGTAGACTAAAGCTATCTACTACCACTCAGAAATCCAATGAACTTGGTGGCGCCATAGAGAGCATCTTTTGTCTTCCAATAGTGAGCTGAAGATCTTTCAGAGAGGAATTAAGTTGTAGTGATAGGAAATTTTAATTTTTTTATTATTCTGAGGATTTTTTGGAGAACCAACTCTGCCAAATAAGATCTTCGCAGGAATTTCTTTACAGGTAGTCCTCATTTAGTGACTCCCTTGTTTAGCAAACATTTGAATACATGACAATGATGAAAAATAACTTTACAACCAATTCTCACATTTATGACTTCCACAGGTTTGTAAAGCAAAGGAAAGATGAAGTAAGATTGTAAGCAGTCAAATTTCAATTGGCGACCTCTTTGCTTGACAACTGAGTTGCATGTCCCAATTGTGATTGTTAAATATGGACTACCTATATTGCATCTTGCTACAAACATCTCATTTACAAAGTATGCAAAGGGAAAGAGGATAAGCTATCCTTCACCTGATACTAACAGCAAGATTAAACGAAATCCCATGGAAAACGAAGTTAGTTGGGAAAGAAGGGGTAGACTGATGGGTGTTCCCAGGGGGCATTTGCAGCTGTGGGAGACACTGCCATGGTGGATGACCAAGAAACTGAAGCCCCACTCCTTTCTATGTGTAGATGTATAAAGGAGTGGGCTTGATTGCATCCACCACCTTACCTTGGGCCTTTCCTTGTGGATCACACTGGGAGTTCCTTGCAAAGTGTATATTTAAAAAATAGTTCCAATAGTTACAAACAATTCCAAGGACGATTAAAAATTTAAGGCCAGAAAAAGCCGACAAACATGAAAGCAGCTGAGCTTTGCATAAGAATATTTGCTATTCAGCTAGAAGCTGATTCTTTCAGAGGGCTGAATTTAAGGTAGATGTGGGCCATCTGCACCAGCAAAGAGGAGCTGTGCCAATAAACATCAGAAGAGCAGGTGGAATCAATTTCTATGAAATCAATCACTTTCTGTTCTTCCACAACAGCCTGAATGGATTAAGGAGGAGATCAGATTAGTTGCCAGTGATGAGTCAGCTAAAGGCCCTGCACCTATCTAGTTTCCCACCTAACCACTATCTGATTTTCTGGGAAGGCTGCATTTAAGGAAGGCCAATATTAGTTCTGGGACTGTATGCAGTAGCACCCCTGAAAGATATCCTTTGGAAAGATCTGTGAGAGCATGAAAGATTCTGGCTTCATGCTTTATCTTCTGGGACTGAGTGATGGGAATTCCAACTCAACATTCCTAAGTATGACATTTGTGCATGCAGCCCTGCTTTGGAGAGAACTGAGTCAGATAATGGTTTAGATGACCTGGTTGCTGAGTGGGGCACCAGGTGTTGTATGGTGTCCCATTGCTGAAGCAACTGCACTGACTCTTGGGAGGGGCCTCTTTCCCTCATGTCTGGCCTTTCCTGAAGCTTCTCTATCATATCAGGAGATTTTAACTGGCAGATTAGCTTATTTTTCCCTTATATATAGGTCTTGTAGGCTTCCCTTCTGCTTTTAATCCTGATTTCTCTTTTCTCCTTAACAAAAGGGATTCAGTCACCTTGGAACCTTTAAGGAAAATATGGACATACATATTTCAAATAAATAGAAGTCATTCTGCTAGTTCTTTATTTACTCTATTTTATAAAACTTTATCTTGTTTTGTCTAGCATGTTTCACTATAATCATTAGTACTGAACATGCTAATGGCTATTGAAGTGGAAAAAGAAGGAAACAGTGCTCTAGCCAGCCTTAAAAATAAGCAGTGGTATCAAGCCCTCAAGATATTATACTGATAAATCATAATCATACTGATAAAAATGATAAAGTGTTCATGATTTGAAAGGAATACCTGGAATGGAAATGCCTGTGGGTGGGTATTTGGATCAGAAAAGAAGGTATTTGTTACTTGCAGGACTTTCCCATCCTTTCCCACCTGCTTAGTAAAGAGCCACTCCTGTCAATGAAGCTGAGTTATTTAAGGGGTCTTGGGTGGGGTTGTAACTAGGGAATACAGCTTTCAATTGCTGGTTGTTTCCCACTTTTAACAGCTTTTCCCTTGACTGCAGATCAAAGCTTGTAAATTTTCCAAAAAGCAAACAGACCAGTTGAGCTTATTCAGTTAAATATATTTCATGTAGATATGATTACAGGACATGTCAGATCAATGTAGCAGTCCTGAGTGAAAGACTCACTAAATTAAATTGGTCTGACTTCCAGTTGTATGTGCTAGGGACAACAAGTGAGAGAGAAACAAGTGAGCAAGAACGATGTTCTTCTACACGGACAGAATGATGTTCTTCTTCTACATGGAAGTAAGTAAGCAGTGGGGTACCCCAAGGTTCCATTTTAGGCCCAACAACTCTTCAACATCTTCATAAATGATTTAGATTAGGGAATAGAAGGGGAACTCATCAAATTTGCAGACAACATTAAATTGGCAGGAATAGCCAGGATTTCAGAAGATAGGATCAAGATCCAGATGGATCTTGACAGACTTCAACACTGGCCCCTATGTAACAAAATGAAATTCAGTGGTGAGAAAAGTAAGGTTTTACACTTACTTTTTTACAAAAAAAAAAAATCAAATGTATAGGTACAGATTATGTGAAACTTGACTAAATAGCAGTAACAGAGGAATCTCGGAGTCCTGGTGGACAATCACTTAAATATGAGCCAGCAGTGTTTGCAGCAGTCAGAAAAGCCAATATAGTTCTAGGCTGCAATAACAGAGGGATAGAATCAAGATCATTTGAAGTGTTAATACCACTTATAATGCCTTGATAAGACCACACTTAGAATACTGCATCTAGTTTGGTCACCATGTTATAAAAAAGATGTAGAGACTCTGGAAAGAGAGCAGAAAAGAGCAACAAAGATGATTAGAAGGCTGGAGGCTAATACATATGAAGAACAGTTGTAGGAATTGGGTATGCTTAGTGAAAAGAAGAAGTAAGAGTGACATGATAGCAGTGTTCTAATATTTGAGAGGCTACCACAAAGAAGAGGTGGTCAACCTATTTTCCAAAGGACAACTGATCAAAGAAAGAAGCAACCTAGAACTAAGAAGTAATTTCCTAATAGAACAACAGCTTATCTTCAGAAGTTGTGGGTGCTCCTTCACTGGAGGCTTTTAAGAAGAGATTGGACAGCAACTTATCTGGAATGGTATTCAGCAGGGGTGTCAAACTCGCAATGTCACATGATGTGTCATGATGTATCACGACTTTTTTGCCATTGCAGTCAGTCTCAAGACCATATTCAAAAGTCGCACTTGTCAGCTGTTTGGCGTGTAGATCCAGCGCGCCTATCAGCTGTTCGGCACGAGGTTCTTAGGGCTTCGCGCTCAGTCTTGAGACTGACTGCTTTATGCCTTTAAGAGCTTTGTGCATGTGCACATGCCTCACTGCAACCGTTGTTTAACTGTTATGTAAATTTATGTACATACTCCCCCCCCCATTTAGCCCTTTGCTCTGATGATGTTAGCAGGTTGTTAACGAAAGCTCAGCAATATATATATATATATATATATATATATATATATATATATATATATATATATATATATATATATGTATATATGTATATATGTATATGTATATAAAGGGACATCCTTGTCTTGTCACTTTCTATATCTCACAATATTTTTTAATTCTCCATTTATAGTTATACATTTTGCAAAGTATAAATTGATTTTATTCATTTGAAATTCTCACCAAAGTTCATATGTCCCAAAAATTTTAAACAAGAAAGTCTAGTTCAAATTGTCAAGAGCCTTTTTTTAATCTAGAAAGATCCAACTTGTTTTGTCACTCCAATCTTTGTTTTTCTAAAAGAAAAAGCAGTCAGATCAAGATAATAGATCAGCAGAGATGTAACTCTAAGCTCACTGAAAGAAATGTCAGATTCCTAGATGAATATTACACCAAACTGGAGGCAAGGAAAGCAAATCAACATGAAATAAAAGGTCCTGCATGGAGACAGCATGAATGTTATATATCCAAAGAGGAGCACTGATGCAAGGGAATTTAAACTATGTGGTTATGTATTCAATAACCTTTATTCTTAAGATAAAATATGCTTGACCACACTGAATGAAAATACTAAGATGTTATTTTATTGCTTTGAAGTTTGACTTTAACCTTTCATTCTATTCTGTTTGGTTGGGAGTGGTCCAGAATAAAGGCACCGGAGGAGATACTCTATGAGGTCAACACCTGTGGAAAGGGAAGTTTCTCACCTGCATGTAGCTCAGCAGAGAGGAAAGGAAAGAAAATGAGTCAGCAAGAAGAAATACACCCAACTGGCTTGTATAAATATATTTATGGTTATAAATATAGCTACATCATAAATACAGCACCACCTGCTGACCATACAGGTAAATTATTCTTTTACAACTTAACAATCATTACTAAAATATTTGTCTGTATTCAGATTTCATTTGAGGAAAACACAGAAGACTTTTATAATCTTGCACCATTTCTCCCAGATGTTTGGGGAGGGGGGGAAATCAAGGGAAAATTAGCAATAGCAATAGCACTTAGATTTATATACCGCTTCATAATGTTGTATATTCCTCTCTAAGATGTTTACAGAATCAGCCTATTTCCCCCAACAATCTGGGTCCTCATTTTACTGACCTCGGAAGGATGGAAGGCTGAGTAAACCTTGAGCCGGTGAGAATTGAACTGCCAAACCACTGGCAGTTGGCAGTCAGCAGAATTAGCCTGCAATACTGAATTCTCCAGCAGGATGGCTGTAGAGTCCAATGGATAGGTTCTATGACAGCCTTCCTGCCCGGCAGACTGGGTAAAAACTTTGGCCACACCCCTTCCTTTGGGCGTGACCCCAGTTTTGACTCAGTCTCGAAGCCCGGTAGCAGTGTGAGAATCAGCTCTTGAAAGATTCATAAAAAAAGACAAAATCTCCCTCTTCCCAGACTAAATTTCTAGACTAAATTGGCAGATAAGGAAAATCTTTAGCAGCTGGCTCGGGCCCCGAGCTATTTCCAGATCTCCATCCACCGGAGGATCGTCGGAGCGGTGAGCGTATCCCCAGGGTCTAGGGCGGCTAGCCAAGGGGTTCGGGGGGCTCACCGGGTCGTTCGCCGACCCCCAGCACATTAATCAGCTGATTGGCGCGGGGATCACAGCCCGATCGGCGATAGAGCCGGGGCTAGGCTCGGCGCCAAACAGCTGATCGGCGCGAAAAGAATTGCTGCAGCTGATCGGCGCGGATAATTGCGGCCGGACCGGCCGACAGAGCCGCGGCGCCGTTCGCCACTTCAGGGGAGAGTTTCCCTCCCCCCCCCTTTTTAAAGCCCGAAAGGGCCGTTTTAACCGGCGTTCGCCTCCTTCCTTGCCTTTTTCCTCCTACCGGCACGCAGGGAGGACAGGAAGATTTCAGAGCCGGCAACTAAGAGCCGCCATTGTGAGCCTCGTGGTCTCCATAGGCTTTGTTTGGGGGGAGTGGCCTCCTCTAATTCGCCATTTTGAACGAGCAGATTAACCCGCCATTCCATTGTGGGTGGGGTTTTCGCCATCCGGAGGAGTCTACTTGCATTACAAAGAGGGAAGAGGGAAAAATAGACAAACTGCCATCAATTTGAACGTGGTCTGTTTTTACAGTCACAGATTGGGGGAGATACAGTCACCAGTTATATCGTGTCGTGTCAGGACTGGAACGTCCTTGGATTAGGTGAGGAGGTGAGGAGGAATAATTTCCCTAACTGTTCCTATAGTGACCTTTAGTCACTGCCTTGCAGGATCTCCTGTCCAAAGAATCCTGTCTGTCCGGCCATTGTTCGTATAGGCAGAAGAGGGCATCAGCCCCAAGTATCTGCATCTGATCTGCGTACCTTATTCCCCCATTCCAGGCATTGCCTACTCGGGGTGCCTGGCACAATGGCAGACAACGTCTCGTATTCAGTCACACAGGTCCCTCAATCGTCCCCCCCACAACAGCAACAAAAATGCAGATCTTCTGAACCAGAGGTGGGGGGGAAGAAGAAGGCTAAAACAAAGCACCTTACTCAGAAGGGACAATCTAAAACGGCTGAGCGAGAGGCTTTGAGGAGACATTTGGCTTTAGAACGACAAATTACCAGGGCACAGAGAACCAATTCCAATGGGACAAGTACAGTTTCCCCTGTCCCATTGGTGGCACCCAGCTCAGAACCTACTGCCCAGGAAGTTCTCAAAACTTGGTCTCCTCCTGGGGAAACTGAACAGTTGGATTCCTCCAATCCCTCCTCACCAGCTTCTTCACCCGACCACACTCCAGTGTGTCACTCCAGCGACAAAGCGCAGGAGAACATATGGTCGGCACAATTTCAGGCATTCATGCAGGATGCCTTTTCCCAGTTCATGGCTTCTAAGGAGCAAGTGGCCTTTCACACACCCCATAAGGGATGAACTAGGCCGCCCCCTACCAACATTTCTGAGACTTCCTCTCAAATAGGAGAGGGTGACTCATTAGACCTTGATATGTCAGACATGCCCCTTTCGGAGGATGAGGAGACTGCACCTGAGCAGGCGACGAGCTCTGGCCTCTTTGACCCAGCGCTCCTCAAATCACTTCTGATAAAGGCAGTCTCCACGGTCAGCCTGACATCAGTACAGGAAGAGAAGCCCTCTACAAGCAAGGAGGCCAATCCTCTATTTGCCAAAAAGGTCCCACAGGATAAGTACATTCCATGTCCGGAGGTCTTCATGATCACGGTAGAGGAACAATGGTCCTCCCTTGCAAGCCCACCGGCACCCAATAGCATGGAAAGAAAGCTTTTCAATCTCTCTCCCTCCTTCTCGAACATGTTAGAGGTTCCTACGCTAGATAACCCCTTGATCTCTTTATTTTCTACCTCCGCGATTCCAGGAGACATGGCGGAGGCCTTGAAACCTGAAGAAAAGAAATATGAACACTCCCTCCGCCGTTCCCACATGGCTGCAGCCTGGGCGGCCAAAGCAGCCACTTCATCATCATTCTTCGCGAGGGCCTGTATTATGTGGCTGAGGGAACTGCAAAGCACGGTGCCTCCAGATCAGGTCAGAGTACACCAAACATTGGCCAAGCTCCTCGCAGCCTCTCAGTTCATGGCTGACGCGTCACTGTATGCAACAAAGTACGCGGCAAGATCCATTGCGGCTACAGTGGCCTCGCGTAGACTACTATGGCTCAAAAATTGGAAGACAGACCTGAGGTCCAAGTGGCGTCTCTCGACGTCCAAATACAGCGGGGCATTCCTATTTGGATCCATACTGGACCCGCATGTCAGCGAGGGCAGAGATAAGAGGAAGATCTTAGTACACCCATCAAAGAAGTTTGATAGGAGAAGCAGTCAAGACTTCCGGAGACAGGGATCCCGCCCAGGAAGCCCCTGGGAATGGAGGCAGCCCTTTCGGGCAGGGCAATCCTGGGACTGGCCCAGAGGCTCACGATCCTTCTACCCGAGACAGGATCGACCCCAGGATCGCCAAAACACGGGAGCCAGAGGCCAGTTCCAGCCCAGATGTCCATATAGGGGATCGGGAGGCAGATCCTTTAAGCGCACCAACTGACGCCAAACAGGACACTCCCATCGGAGGTCGGTTAGGAAATTTCATCGAGGTCTGGGAGCAGACCACTACCGACGCCTGGGTCTTGGAGACGATCAGACATGGTCTGACCTTAGACTTCTGTTCTCCCCCACCAAACCGGTTCATCAGATGCCCCATCTCCAGAAAGGTACACAAGGCAAGGTTGCTAACTTTGGCCATAGCTCACCTGTCAATTCAAGCCATAGAGGGGGTACCAAAGGGAGAGGAAGGAAGAGGATTCTATTCCATCCTCTTCGTTATCCCAAAGACATCAGGAGGATGGAGAGCAATATTGGACCTGAAGGGCCTGAATTATCACATAAAATACAGGAGGTTCAAGATGCACTCCTTGAAATCCATCCTAGCCAGCATCAGGGAAGACGATCTACTATCCTCAATAGATCTAACAGAGGCGTACCTACACATTCCCATTCATCCCAGTTACCGGAAATTCCTCAGATTTACCTACGCGGGCCGGCATTACCAATACAGGGCCCTATCCTTCGGGCTATCCTCAGCGCCAAGGGTATTTACCAAGATCCTAGCTGTAATAGCGGCCCATCTCAGGCTGATGCCGGTTCGCGTACAGTTCTATCTGGACGACATCTTGATTCAGTCCAGATCTCAGGAACAAGCAAAGGCAGATTGCTTGACCACAATCCGAACCCTACAGGGGCATGGATTCTCGGTCAATTTAGTCAAGAGTCATCTCACTCCCTCAAGGAGACTGCAACACCTAGGCGCAGTGATAGACTCGTCACAGTGCAGGGCATACCTTTCCCAGGAACGACAAATCAGCATATCCAAACTAGTTCACCAAATTCAGAGAATCAGGAGAGTGCCCCTGATACAGCTCTCGAAACTCCTGGGAAAGATGATATCTTGCATGGGCATTATACCATGGGCAAGGCTCCACTCGAGGGAGTTGCAGTGGTTCCTCCTACCCTACCAGAGGAGGAAACTCAGCACATCCAACAGGAAGGTCTTGGTACCAGTACAGGTGATGAGATCACTGAAATGGTGGATATCTCCCAAGATACTCAAGGGGAGCATATTCAAGGAGCCGAACAGGGTCACGCTCACGACAGACGCGAGCCTGTTCGGATGGGGAGCCCACCTGGGAACCCAGATAGCACAGGGCCAGTGGGACCAGAAGGACCTTTCACACAGCATCAATTGGCTAGAGCTCTGGGCCATCCACCTGGTTCTACGTCATTTCTCACACCTAGTAACAAGGAGGCACGTCCTCGTATTAACAGACAATGTAGCAGCCAAGGCACATGTAAACAAGGAGGGGGGAACGCGATCAGCGGAACTAATGAAGAAGGCATTAGCTCTGGCTCGGTGGGCAGAAACCAATGTGAGTTCCATCAGAGCAGAACACATCTCAGGGGAGACAAATACCCAGGCAGACTCCCTGAGCAGAGCCAGGTTGGATCAGTCGGAATGGCGCCTGGATCCGGCTCTGTTCGAGGAGATCTCCCGGAGATTCGGGCAACCGCATCTGGACCTATTTGCTAATCACAGGAACACACAACTCCCCAGGTTCTTCTCCAGATTCCCGTCTCCGGGGTCGGAGGGAACGGATGCTCTCAGGTGTCGGTGGCCGGCGCATCTCCTGTACGCCTTTCCACCGTTGCCCTTAATACCGGCGACCATACGCAAGTTGATTCTGGAAGGCGCAGAGATAGTCTGCATTGCCCCGCATTGGCCACGGCGCCCATGGTTTGCCGACCTCGTGGACCTTTCGATATCACCCCCGTGGAGGATCCCCCCGGACAGAGTAATTCTCAGCCAGGGCAAGTTTGTGCACCCAGATCCCCAGTGGCTACAACTAGCCGCTTGGCATTTGAGCAGCAAAGTTTAGCCAAGCAATCTTACTCGGCAGGGGTGATATCGATCATGCAAGCATCACGAAGAGCGTCCACGAACAGGATTTACGATGCTACATGGAAAGGGTTTTGTAGGTGGTGCGTTTCTCTTCGCCTAGATCCAGCTGCAGCATCTATCCCCAATATTCTAGATTATCTCTTGGAGGGTCTTAATAAGGGCCTATCAGTCAACACTATTCGCAGACAGATATCGGCTCTCTCTACTGTACTCGCCTGCGACAACTTAACCTCCCTAGCGCAACATCCAGCGATTAACGCCTTTTTAAAAGGGGCGACCAACACAAGACCCCCCGTCATACACAGGTACCCGTCTTGGAACTTGCCTAAAGTCCTTCTAGCCTTGACATCAGCACCCTTTGAGCCTCTTGAATCATGTTCCCTTCATCATCTATCGCTGAAGGTAGCCTTTCTGGTGGCAATTACTTCAGCAAGGAGAATTTCAGAACTGGCGGCACTGTCAGTAAGGAAGGATCTGTGTACCTTTTTCAAGGACAAGGTCGTTCTTAGGCCAGACCCGGCCTTCATTCCGAAAGTAAACAGCATCTTTCACAGATCTCAGGAACTGACTCTTCCTGATTTCTGCCCAAAACCCAAACATAGGCTAGAGCATAGATGGCACAAGCTGGACGTACGTAGAGCACTGTGTTTCTATGTGAAACGCACTTCGGCCTTCCGCAAGACAGAGGCATTATTTGTTTCCTTTCAACCATCGACTATGGGAAAGAAGGTGTCTTCTTCCACCATAGGTAGGTGGATCAGAGCCTGCATAGCCCAAGCCTACGTCTCGCAGGAACTGCCAGTACCCACAAATGTGACTGCCCATTCAACACAGAGCGCAGCCACATCTGCGGCATGGCTAACACAAGCACCGGTAGAAGAAATTTGCAAGGCAGCAACTTGGTCTTCACCGTCTGTCTTCATTCGGCATTACCGTTTAGACTCCCTTGCCGCATCAGATGCTGCCTTTGGTAGAAGAGTGCTACAGCAAGTCGTATCTGCTCAGAATTCGGTAGCCTAGACATTCCCTCCCAGGGGGACATGAGGGCTTTGGTATGTCCCATCCATTGGACTCTACAGCTATCCTGCTGGAGAAGGGGCGTTGTCTTACCTGAACGCCTTTTCTCAGCAGGATGATGTAGAGTCCAAGCCCACCCAGGGGTTAGGTCTGGGCAGGTATATAATAAAGAGCTGCAATATTAATTCCAACAAAGTTTCTCGCCTAAGTCAAAACTGGGGTCACGCCCAAAGGAAGGGGTGTGGCCAAAGTTTTTACCCAGTCTGCCGGGCAGGAAGGCTGTCATAGAACCCATCCATTGGACTCTACATCATCCTGCTGAGAAAAGGCGTTCAGGTAAGACAACGCCCCTTCTAACCACTGCACCACCACGGCTCTTATTAAATTTAGAAACAAGTTCATGACTCGGATATAGCTTTCTTGCACTTAAAAATTGGGTATTATATGCGAGAGAAGGAAAGCTTCCCATCCTTCAGTAGTACAGTCCTCTTTCTATTGGTGTCTAGTTTCTTATATTCCAAATAAATTTCAAAAGAAGGCATCATGTGGGAATCCTAATCCTACTCAGAAGAGTGCTAAACCCATGTTGAAAATTTGCTCTAAAAACAACTGACAAGTGTTGATGGTACAACGTGAAGTGGGAAGGACCACTTACAATGAAAAAAGTCCCCACCCCAAAACTTGTCTACTGTTCTTAAACTTGTAATTAAACAGGTTGATTTAATGCTGCATTAAAATCAGTCTTTAAAACAAACTGAATAAAATGTTTTATAGGTGGCATTTGGATCCTCAAAAGCTGTCCGGTATGTATCCTAATTTACAGCCCAAATGTTGGAGATGTGGAAGCTTAGATGCAACTTATTTTCATATTTGGTGGACTTGTAGAAATATCAAAGTTTTTTGGATTAAGATTTGGTGGAATATTAAAAAGATTTTTAAGAGAAAGATAAAGTTCACGCCGCAATTATTTTTGTTAGGTGTTATTGTAGATTTTGATGTTAAAGAAATTAATTTGATGTTGAATCTTATAACAGCTGCAATATTGGAAGAAAGATTCTTTGCCTACTATGGAAGAATGGATACTTAAGGTGTCTAATTTAGCAGAAATGGCAAAAATCTCCGCTTATTTGAAGGACTATTCACAAGAAAGATATATTTCGGTTTGGAGAAGATGGATAGATTATATTCAGAATAAATATGAGACTAAAAAGTATTATCTAGCTTATGAGTAAATTTTAGATTATTATTAATAGTTTAATATGGTTGAATTTATATTATTTTTAATATTATGGTTTAACTATATTATTATTATTATTTTTAATTTGTTAATATTTATCTTGAAAAGGAGTTAAAGTATGTTATGGATTTGATTGTTAGTATAGTTGGGTAATGTTAGTTAGATTATGATTGTTTATGTGTAACCTTGTAATCAGCTCTGGGAAGTGGGGGAGGGGGGAGGGGTGGGAGGGATTTGGGTATATACTGTATAAAATCTTTAAAACTTTTAATAAAAAAAACAAACAGAAGGCATGGGATTGGGGAGCTGTGGAATGGGACATGAAAAGAGAAGTAGTAATTGGGGGGCAAAGAATCCTCACTTTCTCTTCAGGAAATTAAATAACAGGCAACCCTGCAGGCAATTGCCAGGGTTGAAAAATATAGGTGTAATGTAGAAAAGGATTGGTTTGGTGGTATTTGCAGGGCTTTTTTTCTCATAGAACGCCCAGAACGGAGTTCCAGCACCTTTTTTGGATGGAACCTTGTAGGGTAGGCAAGGCGGGTTGTATGATGTGTGTGAGTTCGGGCACCTTTTTTTTTTTTTTTTTTTTTACAAAAAAAGCACTGGGTATTTGTGTTTACCTGTGAGCAATATAACTCTTGTCATCATTTATTGTCAAAAAACCATTCCCAAATCTCTCTAAATCTAGCTGTTAAAGAGTGGCCCTGCCCCCCCCTTTTTTTAAAAATCATAGTATAGAAAACACAATTGGATGTTTCAGAAGTAGCTTTATTAGATTATTTTCCCCTAAAGCTGTTTTTTCTTTATGCTTTTTTCTATGGTGGCTTTAGAGCAAGCATGAAGAAAATTCAGATGGTTCTTTGTAACGACCCAAAGGTACCACACACAAGTACAAACCTCACAACATGAAAAAAAGTAAAAATCAAGCATTTCCTTTGACAAGACAGACATCCTTCCTTCCTGATGGAGATGCCACCTCTGGCTCTTTAACTAGGCCTACATTCCCTCTTGTGCCCAAATGCATATTAAATATATACATTTTGGTTAAAAGTTTGTTAAAAATAATATTAGGCACATATAGAAATTGATATGAACTATTTCATTAATATGTTTGTGGATATTTTGTATTATATGCCTAGAAGTAACACAACACAAGACTATTTCTAGCTTACAGATTGAATGAATCATTTGAATTATTCACATTACATCACTGTGCTAAGGGAGAAAAAGAAACCAACAGAAAGCAAGTTAATTGTCTGAAAGGATTCTATTCTAATTACAATAAAATAAAATGGGCACAATTCAGTTAATCTGATTGTTTTCAGCAGGAGAGCTAGGTAGCTTTAATTGTTGCATTACCAACAATGGGCCTTCATAATGTGAACTTTGACTGGATGGCCTTAAAAACCAGGAAAACACCATTCATTAATATTCAAAATGGAGATAAGATGAGCCTGGCTGTCACAGAATGTGGTCCCAGGCAAACAAATGAGTTGGCAAATGGAATTCATTGCCCCCAAAATGTGAGGCTGTTCTAGAGAATCTGTAATCATTGGGGCAGAAACAAATTTATTTAAAGGTAGTTGTTTGTATTGTAAGGCTATCAACACTACGTTTTAAAAATCCCAAGTTTTGGGTCAACTTTGCACTTCTATAATTATTTTTCATTACAAGTTTCCATTATCATTTGTAGATTAACCAAAGAAAACTTATATTCAGTAATGGCAGTATAAATTTTAAAACATACCTAAATTGAGAAAAAGTATGAAACAATGCTATTAAAATACTGACATTAGTTCAGATATAAAAAGGATGCTTTGAAGAATTCAGATCAACACATTTCTATTTCTGATTGTTACAGGTTACTTGGACAAGAATGTACATGTCATAGATTCATTCCACATCTTTCTGTTTTATCAATTTACACATTTCTGAAACCAAGACTCTTAAAATGTTGGTCAGGAAGTTTTTAAAGTTTATAAAATGTATTTTGAGATGAAAATGCATTTTCAACTCAATTAACTGAATGTACACAAATAAGATTATTTGCAGAATTATTTTTACATAACTAATTTGCAGCTATGATCATAGTCACGAAGTTTAAATTGAATAATTGTTATCAATAGAAATATTGCTGCTAGTGAATGGATTATAATTTTAAAATTATTTGTTAAAGAAGAAAATTCAATTAAAATACTGTGAAGTAAAAACTTGATTACACATTCCTACAAAACTATTTCACAGAATCCAGGGAGGGGAAAACAGATTTCTGTAACTGCCAGCAGAGCCACCAAAAGCACCTCATTGTGCTCTCTTCTGCTTTATTAGCTGGCTATCAGCCTATAAAAGTTGGGTTGGAGAATTAAGATTAATTTCTATACTAAATATAGTTCCATCATTTCTGTATTAATTTCTATGACATAATATGTCAATTAAGCCACTTAAGAAATCAAGCAAATGACAGCACTTAGCTGACTTTGGCTGGTTTCAGAAAAGTTTAGTTTAGTTGGACCTGATTAATACTTGTATAGAAGACAACCAGAACATCCAGGACTGCAGGCTAAACTAGGAATCTATAGGACTCTAAATTAGGAATCTGGAGCCTAGCCCATGTAGCCACCAGGTGTTGAACACAATTCAAAATAATCTTTCCTTTTATACTGCATCTACTTCGATAGTAACCAAAAAGAGACAATTGTCTATGCTTGTTTTTCTGATAGTAGTTAATTAAATGAAGGTTCATTTATAAAGAAATGCTTTCACAAGAAAGCACCATCATTTTCCAGTTTCACAGATTTTATTCATTTGGGAAATTCCAAAAATACTTAGTCAATTCTTCCTTTCATGAGATCTTGCCAGAACAAGTTTGCAAAATACTTGTTTGTCAACTATCTGCAGAAATCAGAGTTGGACAAAAGGAGGCTTCCATCTTCCTATAATATTTTATAGGAACTGCATTCTGTCAACACTGTGACAATGGATGTTCCCACTCTGACAACTAAGGGAAATTGCAGCCATTTTTACTCTGCTTACAGCTTGCTTTTTCTGCTGTTTAGAAATCAGATGTAAAAGGAGGGATGGGGTGAATGCTTGAGCTCAAATAGCCATAACAATAATGCAGCTTCATGGGAATTCAAGGACGCAAACCGATAACGTTTTGGCAGGCTGAGGAGCTGGAGAGGAAGCCCGCGCTTCAGGCTAATTGGAGAATGTGATCTATGACTGCTTCATGGGGGTGGGGATTGCAACTTGTTACTTTGTATCTGGGGGAAGGGAATTTAGTTTTGAGTTCAACTATGTAGTGCCGATACTTTGTTTCCTGAATAAAATGTTCTTTAAGGAAGAACTCTTGCCTTGAAGTTCTTTAATTGGTATCATCTATTAGAACCATGACACATTCATTCTTTACCCATTTTAATGCTTTCCACCCAATATTTGGTTAATTTTCACGCATAAATTATTATTTTTAATTGTAGTTTTGAAAAGTATTTTGGTATGTTAAAATACTATTCAAAACCTCAACTAAGAAGTACAATCAATATGTGAAAATTAACCAAATATTGGGTGGAAAGCAATACATTTTGGAATATTAAAATTTTGAGAGAAGTTACAACAAAAGATATTGCACAGAATTTTGGTAAGAGCCTCATTTTGGAGAAGGTGAAAAGAGCATGAAGGCTTTCAGAACTGAATTGGAATAAATTCTAATTTACCATTTCTGCTTGCAGGGAAACTATTAACTGTCTTACATAGTTACCATGTTTTGATATTAACAATAAAGGTATGTTTATTTGTTTATTTGTCATGCTCATTCTCATCTCTTTCATAAGCCAACCATCTGTCTCATGCCTTCAGGACATTAAACACCATTGTCAATATTTGAACTGAGCCTAGAAATAGAGTAACAGGTAATATAGAAGCGATGTTATCACATTATTTTATTAGCTAATTCAATAGTAATTTGCAGCTATATTTGGAAGTTGGGTATCTCACTATATCTAGAACATCATTAACTATTTCTCATTGTGGAAGATTTATTGCTTGAAAACTACAGGATGGTTCCCTATAGTTTCTGAATTAATGCAATCCAGAAGAACAATGTTACCATGTTTTCTGGAATATTTTATAGGGAGGTGCAACAGTTGTCAGTTTTGCACAATCTTATCACAATGACTTAAGGCCCTAGACACATTCTCAGAAAACAAAGTGATAAATGACTATCATCACTTCAAAGAAGGCCACTTCAAGAAAGAAATACTACAAATACTACTGGAACTCTATGGTTGTAGGGTACAATATTAGAATCCTGAAAACCTGACAAAATTCCCTTCTGTCATTAAAGAGAATAAAAGCAGATTATCTTGAATTTCATTCTTATTCTTCCTTTCTTCCCAGGAGTGAATGGAAATTTACCTAATGTTCTTACATTCCTTTTTTTAAGGGTAGCTTCGTTCCTCTTTATGCTGACTGCAGTTCAGTGCTTTGTTTGATTTCTGCTACATTTGTGTTTTGAATATTGCTTTTCCTTCTGGTATATTGGTCACTACCTTCTGGGAATCATTTCATGCTTATAACATGCTTTCAACATGCTAAATGTGCTGACCCCTGTTCTGTCTAATACATTGACAAAAAAAAGATAACTGTGTATGATACATTCAGATGAGAGGTTACCAGAGTATATATAGAAAGCTTGTAGCTGGTGTTTTAGCCTAAGTTGATGTTTTAACTAACCCAATGACAGTAATTGTTAGAACCCTATGTTCTGCGTGCATGGGATTTCTTGTTCTTTTTGGGTTCTGCCATTTTTTGGGGGGGAGGGGGAAGCTTAAGGTACCAATGTGTATTTACTTTGCTCTGTCTCTTGCTCTATCCTCTTTGATGTGTCTCTAATGGGGTGAGAATGGAATATATCTCCGGCCATCTGCCTTATCTCCGAGCGCGGAAGAAACGGCGCAGACACCTAACAGCCTTGCAAGTGGTGCCTTATCACTCTGTTCTCACATTGTTTCCACACCCACAGATTGGCCTGTTTGAACCGTCCAGATGGACAGGGTGGGGTTACTATGGACACTTTTAATTACTTGATTCGCATGGGAAACCTTCAGATCCTGCCTTCTATTCCTGCTGTCAAACCTCCCAATAAAAGTTCCTTTTGAAATGATGCCGTTTAAAAAGTTCTGCTTTCTTGGGAGAACTGATTGAGGTGGGTCCTTACAGTAATGCATCCAGGAACCAAATTACCAACTTTATTTTTCAAAGATAAACACTTTCCAGAATAGCTTCAACATCACTCACTTGGGCAGCCACCATCTTGTCCCTACCAAATTTCAACATAAGGCCTCATCCAATTAATCATGCATTAGTTCAAGACATCTAATGGTTTACCTAGATTAGAAGAAAAAGGGAGAGAAAATTGGACGTAAACTACATATTGATGACATCTCAGTTCACATCCCCAAATGATGTGCTCCATAGTTTCATAAACATAAAAGATAAAATGGAGCTCCAAGCTGAAATACGCCTCTGTCAATTTACATTTTTGGTACAGAAAAATGTTTTCGTTGAAATATTAAACAATACTGCAAAGTCCAAGAGAAGCAATAGAATTGTGCTCAACAATCTCTGGGCAAAAATCACTGGGATAACTAAATTTTTAGCACAAGTATAAACGTAAAAGGATTGAAATGGATCTGGAAGATTAACTTCATCTCAAATTGCTTAGAGCTGATCAAGAAGAGAGTTTAGTAACTGGCTTGGATCACCATGGCTAGATTCTGAATAGGATAACAGCTTGTTTATTACTTCTTTCATAAAGGTTGGTAGATGCCCTAAATCTAACAAGCCAAAATAGGCAACGTGATTGATTGAACCTGTCCAGTGACTTTATTTACTTCATTGGGTCTCAACAATTAAAATTTCTGCAAAACAACTAAAGGTAGTCCTCAACTTATGACTAATGAATTCTTAAAGTTTGGTTGTAAATTGTGAAGGCTCATAAAGACCATGTGGCTGCACCCAATTTTACAACCTTTTTTGCAGCAGTTATTAAGTGAACACTGTGATCATAAAGCAAACACAATGGTTGCTAAGTGAACCCTGCAATCATTAAGCAAACCCATTGTTCACTGTGGAGCTCTTTTTGCTGGAAACTGTAAGTAGTCCATGGAGCATTGCAAACAGCCTTAAACGTGGGCTAGCTGTTGAGCATCCATATGACTACAGAGATTCTAGACATCAGAACCTCAAATCTGGGTTGTAAGTCCCTTTTTCAGTGTTCATCATAACTTGGAACACTTGCTAAGTGACCAATCAAAGTAAAGGACTACCTGTTTATAGACAAGATTTGGACACACCTGCTAATATAATTGGATAAACTTTATCATAGCAAGCTGTGAAGCATGCAATTAATTCTGATAGGGTCAGGGCATAAGAAACCTGGGGTACCTAAAGCAGTTCAGCTGGACAATACTGAGAATATAGCTGGGGAAAAAACATTTTTGGTCACCTTCCTCAATAGGCTCAATAATGAATTCCACTCAGGCTCAGCAGTCTTCTTTACATTTTAGACATTATTTTTCTGGTTTCACTGCGCTCAGCATAAATATATACCAAGAAGCTAATTTGTAGAGTTATGCAAACCATTCAAAAGAAGCACTTTGCAAGTGGTAGCACAAACAAATCACATCTTGAAAAGTTCAAACTGCTGTATCCCTTGTAAGCATGCTCAGTTACTTTGTCCATGGACACATGGTCCAGGAACAGCTGGCATAGTAGCTGTGCAAGCTTTGAAATGGATAAAACTTCCAGGACAGATACTTCATTTGTGCTCATATACTTGGTTGGCTTTGCCGACAGGAAAATGGCATTTGCAATTTTGCCAGCTAGGTGCATTCTCTATTCTACAGAGTGATCAAGATGTTGACACAACTCCATAATATCTGCAAATCCTCTGATATCACTAAAACCCATTAGATGAAGATCATCCTTGTAACTTTTTTTATCTTTGCAGAAGGAATAAACTACCACAAGTACAAATCTCGGTAAACAGATTTTATGCTGTGATAACCAAATACATCATTCCTACTCTTCTTTTGGATCACCACTTCATCTATCAACTATCCCTAACCCAAGTCTTGATGGTCAGTGTCCCAGGCTATTTAAGGAAAGTGCGTTAATCCACTCTGTCACTATCTTAAAGACATGAACATTTGCACAGATGTTCCAAGAATGCAGTAACACTATTGCACCAATTGGATCAGAACTAATGTGTAAGATTAATGTGTCAGTCATACAACAGAGGTTCTTACAGGGAGAAAATGGAAACTAGACGCTATACAAAGTTTGCAATACAAAAGCAAACTGAAGCATAGCTTTGATGTTCATAGAATTTTTTTTCTGTTAAGAATTTCCTGTTTTGTTACTGTAAATCCCATTAACTCATAAATCTCTTTATAAACATTTAAAAGGATACTATTAATATTACATTAATTATAGAATTAACTTTTAATGTTGGGAGATAGACGCTTAAGGACATAAATTACAGCACTGTCAACGCTGTCAAGTAATTAAGGTAAAACAATTCACACCCTGGTAATTACCGATAGGTTCACTTTTTATATGAATTCAGGGGATATGACTCACCCTTTAGTTTTTCATTGTTATTTAATGGCCCTATTCTATCTTTCAGTAGTATTGGCTTTAAGCCAGGGCTGCTACTCCAGAAGGAAAACGTTCTGTAGTTTGCAGCAACAGACATTCCCTCCACACACATCCTATTAACCTTTCATTATTTCACCTTTCCTATTAAGGCGTTATATTACTGTATATAAATATTTGTAGTTACTGCATTACACTGATTTCAGACTGGATAAAAAGTTAGGGTTTGTTATGCTATATAAAGAGAAACCATATATGGATGAATAGAAATTCACAAATCTGAGCATAGAAATTCTGTTGAGAGTGTTTGGGTAAAGATCAGAGAAACAAAACCAATATCATTCTAGGAGTTTATTGCTTGGAAGAGACAGATAGGGCCATTCCATGTCAGTCGACCAAATTATGCAAAGAAGCAATAATGGCAATGGGAGATTTCAACTAACTCTATGAAGTCTCAGAAGTTTAGCAGATTCCTGTTGTCTCTTGCTGACAACTTCATTGGCCAAAAGGTAGAAGAAGGAGCCAGGGAGCCAGCTACCAGAGGTTGGTTGAGGAAGTGATGGTGACAGCTCCTTGAAAAAAACAACCATGCTATCCTTGACTTAGGATATCAAGGAGAGGAGTAATAAAGAGTCAGATGTACCTCCTGGGCTTCATAGGAGCATATTTCAATGAATTCAGTAGAAGGTAAGTCAGATCCAAAGGCTTGAAATCCTGAAGGAGAAAAGTATCTGGGAAAGATCAGAGATATGCTGAAAATGTTATTCCTAGCAATTTCTATTGAAAGAAAAAATGGAGAAAATTAAAAAAGACCAACATGGATATATGCAGAGATCTCTACATTGTTGAAGAGAAAACAAATCATGTATCGAGGGGAATATAGCCAAAGAAGAATGCACGGCAGTTACCAGAAGTAGTTGGAACTCGGTCAGAAAGACTCAGTTCAGAATGAGCTGACTCTAAAGGGATGTCTAAAACAGCAACAAACTTACATGTCAGAAACAGAAGGAAGGGCAAAATGGTTGTAAATATTTTGCAGAAAGGAAAGAAAGAAAGAAAGAAAGAAAGAAAGAAAGAAAGAAAGAAAGAAAGAAAGAAAGAAAGAAAGAAAGAAAGAAAAGAAAGAAAAGAAAGAAAGAAAGAAAGTGGTAAGGGATGATTTTGAGAAGGCAGAACATGCAAAATGAATGTTTACATCTTCTCTCAAAATGGAAAAGTCTATCTACTGTTTTGCCACTAGTGAAAGGAGAGAATTAGACTAAAGATAAACAAGGAGAGCAAAAGAAATGTAAATGAAGTCAAGACTGTAGATCCAGATGAATTACATCCTAAGATATAGAAGAAATTGCAAGTAGTCCTCAATGTCCAATCATAATGTAGCCTGCCCTTAACAGTTGTAAATCACACTGCAGTTATAAAGTGAGGCACACATGTAATTGCCTCTTCATATGCTTTAGACTCCAGGCCTTGCATCCAGTTTTGGTCACCACAATATAAAAAAGATGTTAAGACTCTGGAAAGAATGCAGAAAAGAGCAACAAAAATGATTACGGGATTGGAGGCTAAAACATATGAAGAACAGTTGCAGAAATTGAGTATGTTAGTTTAATGAAAAGAAGGAGTAGGGATGACATGATAGCAGTATTCCAATATTTGTGGAGCTGACACAAAGAATAGAGGTCAGCCTGTTCTCCAAAGCATCAGAAGGCA